TCCATGTTTCTTACATAAAAAAACGTAAATAATAAAAAAATGAAGAATTTTGAAAACCAGAACAAATGTCAAAAAGGTTCGTTCGGTGGTCTACAGGTAGGCTGCTCCAAGTTTCTTAAATAACTCCAAAAAAACTAAAAATAAAAAAAGATGAAACAATTTGAAAAATGGACAAATGCCATAAAGGTTCGTTCAGTGTTTGTCGGGTAGGCTGCTCCATTATTGAGACGTAAGTGACAAATACAAAACAAATGGAACACATTTGAAACAAAGATAGATTGTCATAATGGAGCAGCCTACCCGACAAACACTGAACGAACCTTTTGCTATAACAAATATGGGAGCTGCTGGATAGCTTTTTGGCTGGTCTTTTCACTTTTTGGGCTGCTGGATAGGTTAGTACTGAGTGAGCTACCATTGTGGCACCCGCGCCTCTGGCTCCCAAACACCTGTCCCACACGGTGTTGAAAGATTGCGCTCTGTCGGTGAAATTCAGACCTTATTGTTTGAAGAACATAAGGGTCATAATATTGGTGAAGCTAGGCGCAATAAGGACTTTACACAAAGGTCGGATGCAAGTGATACAGCACCTATGAGCATGATACAGCAAGCGTATCCAGTTGTAGCTCTGAGCGCGCCACCCTTGCCCTGGCATTTCCAATTGGAGATGTCATCTCCAATTTATATAGATGATACATAGATGAATCGTTTTCTGAGTTCAGTGTTGATGCATCTGATACAAGTAGCATAGATGAACAGTGTTAGCGGCTTCCATGGTGGTGTTTTCCAAAGAAATTTTGAAGATTAGCTGAATCTCTTCCTGACTGACGGACACTCTGAGGCTGGCTGCATCTCTTCCTGTGTGGGACCTTACAAAGCTATCTTTTCACGACTACCTAACAAATTTATCTTTTCCTATAATCTTTTCAACGCAATCTTATGCTTTAGAAGCTTGGCTACATACCACTTACAAGTACTAAAGTCAAGGGTGTACGTGAGTGCGTTATTTGCAAGCACACAGAACGAAAAAACAGTTAGCGAAAATCTATCGGTACCTGGCTGGTGCAACGAGAGCAAAGTCGTGCTGTGTACCATGGACTACTTCGTTCATTATTACTAACCTCCACAGTACTGTGTGTGTAATACAGTGTGTTACTGTGTAAATTGTGTGTGAAACTGTACGTATTGATAATTTTAGTGAATTTTTACCACATAATATTGTGACAAACATTTATTGTGGACACATTACTGACACATGTATCACAGTTCCATGGAGCATTATGAACGTTCTACTGTATACATATTGTAAAGGTCACAAATATGCATCATATACGATAAAAAAAAAACATAAAATCGCATTGGAAATACATAGAACAAATAATTGAAAATATGTATGTGGCAACACCCGGTGCTTGAATGGCCCGCGCGACCGTGTCTGGGAGCTTCACACACGGGCCACCAGCCCCTGATGACGTCACAGCACACCTTGTCTACGTCCGCACTGCCAAAGTGGAATTTGGTAATTATTTTTACATAAACATTCAGGGAAGGAAATTTATCATTTTACAAAGAAAAATGTTTTTTTGGGAGCACTTGATGTCATGCACACTGGGGGAATTTCACAATAAACACAGCGCATAACAGTGGTTAAATGGGGACATTCGTTTTGTATGACGTCCGCTTCACATGACGAACACGGCGCCGGAACGGATTAAGTTCGTTATTCGAGGTACCACTGTAGTTATATAATATGCAAACAAGCTTGAATGGTCCTCAAGGTAATATGCAACTGAAAACTCCACACCCCAGAAGGATTCGAATCCAGATAGCCAGGAACGCTATGCACCTTGGCGTACCTGGTACCTTAACCACTAGACCATTCGACTGTACAAAAATCTTTGTAGTCGTGAGACTATTTATACCCAAGCTCCGACAGCACTCGATGGTCAACTCGGGAACAGATATTTCATCGAATCACCTCACTTTGTGGGGCCACGTGAACAACACAAATGCTAACAAGCTTGAATGGTCCCCAAGACAATGTGCAACTGAAAACTCCACAACCCAGAAGGATTCAAACCCAGATAGCCAAGTGCGCTATGCACCATGACGTACCTGGTATCTTAAGATTTTTGTACAGTCGTATGGTCTAGTAGTTAAGGTACCTGGTATACCAAGGTGCATAGCGCTCCTGGCTATCTGGATTCGAATCCTTCTGGGGTGTGGAGTTGGGTCTATGGGGTGCTGGGATGACACAAACTACGTCATTTCAACTAAATTTAGTAATCATTTCATCAAGATACTAAATTACAGCCCATATTGGTTGGTGTGGATGAAGTAGCTCTAGATGACAAAAATATAAGAAATATATCCATGTAAGTTCACTTGTATTCCACCTCGTGTTAGAATAGTGCTCATAGAACCAAACATGTCGGATACCCGACACACATGTTAATATTCTATAGTCAGCCATTATCAAAAATTAAAGGAAAATGGGAGATTCCGTGACGTCATCACAACAAGACGTCTATTTACACATCTTGTTTTTTTAAACCACCACTCAATTCAATTTCTCTCTTTATTATGCACCCCATACCCATCCCGTTGGCGGCGGTGTAAAGGATTACAAAGGCACATAATCGATTCAGGAACTGAATCGTCTAGTTCGTTTAGTTGAGCAAATAACAATCTTTTGACGCTAGTTAGACAATTATTAATGTTATATATATACAGGTACACATACTCATACATACATGTACATATATATACATATACACTTACACATTCATATTCAATCACCCACTTTAAACCATAGTCTAGTGTTTAAATTTAATAAAATAGTATTCACTATGATTGGTTCTTAGATAATTGTACCATACACTACTTGCTATTGTTAAATAAACGTAGAATAGATGAGAGAGTATTGGAAGGCCACCTCAGGGAAGAGAGCCGGGCAAATCATTCTCAAAAGAAAAACTGTAAACACTCAGGGGAGAGTTCTCCCAGAGATTGGTCGACACGCTTCACACACAAGGGACTATTCTATCTTAGTGACTTGCCACAACAACCTCTACAATAACAGAGAACCATAGTATCCGATTTGTGTAATATCTATAGTTTAGGGGCCCATTATTCATAGATAAATATCATTTCTCTTATTCTGTGGGGCATCACCCCAAAAATCGTGAGTTTACTCATCTTTACTACACACAAATATTTCACGTCTCACCTGTACTTTGTATGTTATTGTCAATTTTAACATTGAATTCCTTAGGCAGGTAAACCTGTGATCTGAAGATACTGAGGTGAGCTGGCCAGCATAACCTGTGACGCTTTCACACCCTTGCTGCCCCACAGACACCATGTGAGTGCCAGCCACCATTACATGGCACAACTTGACTACATGTGCCACTCCCTAATCTGTTGGAGGAACCATTCACACAGCCTTGCTGCCCATACCAACCACACAGTTGAGGCACACTATGTTTATACTAACCTATAGTTATCATAACATTTGTAGTACTAACCTTACTGTAGAAAGTTATAAGCCACCAAATGTGGAATAATTTATATGCAAGATAAGGTAAATGTTTTCAGGTTATTATATCACCATAATTGTGGTATAAGTAGTAGACAACCCATCAAACTGTGTACAGGTAAATTCCGGCATGCTGAATCTAATATACAGTCCACTTAGAATCATATTTAAATATTGAAGAAACAAAAAAATAGAAAATAAACACTAAAACAAATATTGCCGGCCAGGATTACCCCACAAATCATGTTCAACGAGATGAACACACACAAAAGGGACGATATAGATCAACCCGTTTCCTCACTGTTGGGTACAACGTGATCCCGTTCCCTCACTGTTGGGTACAACGTGATCCCGTTCCCTCACTGTTGGGTACAACGTGATCCCGTTCCCTCACTGTTGGGTACAACGTGATCCCGTTCCCTCACTGTTGGGTACAACGTGATCCCGTTCCCTCACTGTTGGGTACAACGTGATCCCGCTTCTTCACCTTCAGTACCAGCTGGCCGTACACTCATCCACACAGTCGAGGCCCACGTCACGTTCTGGTAACGATCATCTACGTTGCTCCCCGCACACAACTAATATTATCCACAACGTGCACACAATTACAGAAAATACTTTCATAACAGGTACAAATACATTGGTATAGATAATAATACTTTAGTTATAAACAAACGTGCAAATTGACGTATAATTTTTCAATTTTTTTAGTTCGACATTTGTGTATCTCTCTCCAGAATATAACTGCCTCTACTACCATGATTCTTGTACCTCCAAGGACCGGGTTAGGAGTCTCTAGGGCCTCCAAGGACCGGGCTAGGAGTCTCTAGGGGCCTCCAAGGACCGGGCTAGGAGTCTCTAGGGGCCTCCAAGGACCGGGCTAGGAGTCTCTAGGGGCATCCAAAGACCGGGCTATGAGTCTCTGGAGCCTCCAAGGACCGGGGCTAGGAGTCTCTAGGGCCTCCAAGGACCGGGGCTAGGAGTCTCTAGGGCCTCCAAGGACATGGCAAGGAGTCTTTAGGGCCTCCAAGGACCGGGCTAGGAGTCTCTAAAACCTTCAATAACCGGGCTAGGAGTCTCTAGGGCCTCCAAGGGCCGGGCTAGGAGTCTCTAGGGCCTCCAAGGGCCGGGCTAGGAGTCTCTTGGGCCTCCAAGGGCCGGGCTAGGAGTCTCTTGGGCCTCCAAGGGCCGGGCTAGGAGTCTCTTGGGCCTCCAAGGACCAGTCTAGCGGTCTCAATACCTCCCAAGCCCTGAGTTAGGGGTTACAGAGTGCCTCCAAGGCCCGATTTACGGTAGGTGGGGGGGGGGGTGTTATCGAGTGCCTTCCTTACCTAAGTAGGAGGCTTTAGTGACTCCAAAACCTGTAGGTAGGTGGGGCTTTATAGGCCAACCACGACCTATTAAGTAGGTGGGGGAGGGGGCTTTAGACCCTCCACGGCCAAAGTCGGGGGTTCTAAGCCCTCTACGGCCAAAGTCGGGGCTCTAAGCCCTCTACGGCCAAGGTCGGGGGCTCTAAGCCCTCCACGGCCAAGGTCGGGGGCTCTAAGCCCTCCACGGCCAAGGTCGGGGGCTCTAAGCCCTCCACGGCCAAGGTCGGGGGCTCTAAGCCCTCCACGGCCAAGGTCGGGGGCTCTAAGCCCTCCACGGCCAAGGTCGGGGGCTCTAAGCCCTCCACGGCCAAGGTCGGGGGCTCTAAGCCCTCCACGGCCAAGGTCGGGGGCTCTAAGCCCTCCACGGCCAAGGTCTGGGGCTCTAAGCCCTCCACGGCCATGGTCGGGGGCTCTAAGCTCTCCACGGCCATGGTCGGGGGTTCTAAGCCCTCCACGGCCATGGTCGGGGGCTCTAAGCCCTCCACGGCCATGGTCGGGGGCTCTAAGCCCTCCACGGCCATGGTCGGGGGCTCTAAGCCCTCCACGACCATGGTCGGGGGCTCTAAGCACTCCACGGCCATGGTCGGGGGCTCTAAGCCCTCCACGGCCATGGTCGGGGGCTCTAAGCCCTCCACGGCCATGGTCGGGGGCTCTAAGCCCTCCACGGCCATGGTCGGGGGCTCTAAGCCCTCCACGGCCATGGTCGGGGGCTCTAAGCCCTCCACGGCCATGGTCGGGAGCCCTAAGACCTCCACGGATATGGTCGGGGGCCCTAAGCCCTCCACGGCCAAGGTCGGGGGCCCTAAGCCCTCCACGGCCAAGGTCGGGGGCCCTAAGCCCTCACCGGCCAAGGTCGGGGGCCCTAAGCCCTCCACGGCCAAGGTCGGGGGCCCTAAGCCCTCCACTGCCAAGGTCGGGAGCCCTAAGCCCTCCACGGCCAAGGTCGGGGGCCCTAAGCCCTCCACGGCCAAGGTCGGGGGCTCTAAGCCCTCCACGGCCAAGGTCGGGGGCTCTAAGCCCTCCACGGCCAAGGTCGGGGGCTCTAAGCCCTCCACGGCCAAGGTCTGGGGCTCTAAGCCCTCCACGGCCATGGTCGGGGGCTCTAAGCTCTCCACGGCCATGGTCGGGGGCTCTAAGCCCTCCACGGCCATGGTCGGGGGCTCTAAGCCCTCCACGGCCATGGTCGGGGGCTCTAAGCCCTCCACGGCCATGGTCGGGGGCTCTAAGCCCTCCACGGCCATGGTCGGGGGCTCTAAGCCCTCCACGACCATGGTCGGGGGCTCTAAGCACTCCACGGCCATGGTCGGGGGCTCTAAGCCCTCCACGGCCATGGTCGGGGGCTCTAAGCCCTCCACGGCCATGGTCGGGGGCTCTAAGCCCTCCACGGCCATGGTCGGGGGCTCTAAGCCCTCCACGGCCATGGTCGGGGGCTCTAAGCCCTCCACGGCCATGGTCGGGAGCCCTAAGACCTCCACGGATATGGTCGGGGGCCCTAAGCCCTCCACGGCCAAGGTCGGGGGCCCTAAGCCCTCCACGGCCAAGGTCGGGGGCCCTAAGCCCTCCACGGCCAAGGTCGGGGGCCCTAAGCCCTCACCGGCCAAGGTCGGGGGCCCTAAGCCCTCCACGGCCAAGGTCGGGGGCCCTAAGCCCTCCACTGCCAAGGTCGGGAGCCCTAAGCCCTCCACGGCCAAGGTCGGGGGCCCTAAGCCCTCCACGGCCAAGGTCGGGGGCCCTAAGCCCTCCACGGCCAAGGTCGGGGGCCCAAAGCCCTCCACGGCCAAGGTCGGGGGCTCAAAGCCCTCCACGGCCAAGGTCGGGGGCTCAAAGCCCTCCACGGCCAAGGTCGGGGGCTCAAAGCCCTCCACGGCCAAGGTCGGGGGCTCAAAGCCCTCCACGGCCAAGGTCGGGGGCTCAAAGCCCTCCACGGCCAAGGTCGGGGGCTCAAAGCCCTCCACGGCCAAGGTCGGGGGCTCAAAGCCCTCCACGGCCAAGGTCGCGGGCTCAAAGCCCTCCACGGCCAAGGTCGCGGGCTCTAAGCCCTCCACGGCCAAGGTCGGGGGCTCTAAGCCCTCCACGGCCAAGGTCGGGGGCTCTAAGCCCTCCACGGCCAAGGTCGGGGGCTCTAAGCCCTCCACGGCCAAGGTCGGGGGCTCTAAGCCCTCCACGGCCAAGGTCGGGGGCTCTAAGCCCTCCACGGCCAAGGTCGGGGGCTCTAAGCCCTCCACGGCCAAGGTCGGGGCTCTAAGCCCTCCACGGCCAAGGTCGGGGGCTCTAAGCCCTCCACGGCCAAGGTCGGGGGCCCTAAGCCCAACACGGCCATGGTCGGGGTCCCTAAGCCCTCCACGGCCATGGTCGGGGTCCCTAAGCCCTCCACGGCCAAGGTCGGGGGCTCTAAGCCCTCCACGGCCAAGGTCGGGGGCCCTAAGCCCTCCACGGCCAAGGTCGGGGGCCCTAAGCCCTCCACGGCCAAAGTCGGGGGCCCTAAGCCCTCCACGGCCAAGGTCGGGGGCCCTAAGCCCTCCACGGCCAAGGTCGGGAGCCCTAAGCCCTCCACGGTCAAGGTCGGAGGCTCTAAGCCCTCCACGGCCAAGGTCGGGAGCCCTAAGCCCTCCACGGCCAAGGTCGGGAGCCCTAAGCCCTCCACGGCCAAGGTCGGGGGCCCTAAGCCCTCCACGGCCAAGGTCGGGGGCCCTAAGCCCTCCACGGCCAAGGTCGGGGGCTCTAAGCCCTCCACGGCCAAGGTCGGGGGCTCTAAGCCCTCCACGGCCAAGGTCGGGGGCTCTAAGCCCTCCACGGCCAAGGTCGGGGGCTCTAAGCCCTCCACGGCCAAGGTCGGGGGCTCTAAGCCCTCCACGGCCAAGGTCGGGGGCTCTAAGCCCTCCACGGCCAAGGTCGGGGGCTCTACGCCCTCCACGGCCAAGGTCGGGGGCTCTAAGCCCTCCACGGCCAAGGTCGGGGGCTCTAAGCCCTCCACGGCCAAGGTCGGGGGCTCTAAGCCCTCCACGGCCAAGGTCGGGGGCTCTAAGCCCTCCACGGCCAAGGTCGGGGGCTCTAAGCCCTCCACGGCCAAGGTCGGGGGCTCTAAGCCCTCCACGGCCAAGGTCGGGGGCTCTAAGCCCTCCACGGCCAAGGTCGGGGGCTCTAAGCCCTCCACGGCCAAGGTCGGGGGCTCTAAGCCCTCCACGGCCAAGGTCGGGGGCTCTAAGCCCTCCACGGCCAAGGTCGGGGGCTCTAAGCCCTCCACGGCCAAGGTCGGGGGCTCTAAGCCCTCCACGGCCAAGGTCGGGGGCTCTAAGCCCTCCACGGCCAAGGTCGGGGGCTCTAAGCCCTCCACGGCCAAGGTCGGGGGCTCTAACCCTCCACGGCCAAGGTCGGGGGCTCTGGACCCTCCACGGCCAAGGTCGGGGCTCTGGACCCTCCACGGCCAAGGTCGGGGGCTCTGGACCCTCCACGGCCAAGGTCGGGGGCTCTGGACCCTCCACGGCCAAGGTCGGGGGCTCTGGACCCTCCACGGCCAAGGTCGGGGGCTCTGGACCCTCCACGGCCAAGGTCGGGGGCTCTGGACCCTCCACGGCCAAGGTCGGGGGCTCTGGACCCTCCACGGCCAAGGTCGGGGGCTCTAAGCCCTCCACGGCCAAGGTCGGGGGCTCTAAGCCCTCCACGGCCAAGGTCGGGGGCTCTAAGCCCTCCACGGCCAAGGTCGGGGGCTCTAAGCCCTCCACGGCCAAGGTCGGGGCTCTAAGCCCTCCACGGCCAAGGTCGGGGGCTCTAAGCCCTCCACGGCCAAGGTCGGGGGCTCTAAGCCCTCCACGGCCAAGGTCGGGGGCTCTAAGCCCTCCACGGCCAAGGTCGGGGGCTCTAAGCCCTCCACGGCCAAGGTAGCCCTCCACGGCCAAGGTCGGGGGCTCTAAGCCCTCCACGGCCAAGGTCGGGGGCTCTAAGCCCTCCACGGCCAAGGTCGGGGGCTCTAAGCCCTCCACGGCCAAGGTCGGGGGCTCTAAGCCCTCCACGGCCAAGGTCGGGGGCTCTAAGCCCTCCACGGCCAAGGTCGGGGGCTCTAAGCCCTCCACGGCCAAGGTCGGGGGCTCTAAGCCCTCCACGGCCCTCCACGACCAAGGTCGGGGGCTCTAAGCCCTCCACGACCAAGGTCGGGGGCTCTAAGCCCTCCACGACCAAGGTCGGGGGCTCTAAGCCCTCCACGACCAAGGTCGGGGGCTCTAAGCCCTCCACGGCCAAGGTCGGGGGCTCTAAGCCCTCCACGGCCAAGGTCGGGGGCTCTAAGCCCTCCACGGCCAAGGTCGGGGGCTCTAGTGTCCACGTTCAATGAAGGACTTTTGTACTTCCCCAAAACTGAATTGTGAACTTTGCCTTGTAATATACACAAAGTGTTTTGTGGAACAAGAAAACTGGAACGTACCTTAGACTCAGAAGAACATTGTCCCACGAGGAGCTGTTTGGGTGCACTTACCTGTAAAGACACGAAACTGAATTATTCACAAGAAATGAAAAGTCTTCGTAACCTTAAATCCTCAAATACATTGCCTATATGAATGGTCACATTTTTATCTTTATATTCATAAGCAACTCAGGTGAAGGTGACGCTTGAGGCTCGAGGTGTTGCCTACCTCACTTGAAGGACGAGGACGCTGGGCCCCTCGTCTGATGAGGTCAGACGAGGACGCTGGGTCCCTCGTCTGGTGAGGTCAGACGAGGACGCTGGGTCCCTCGTCTGGCGAGGTCAGACGAGGACGCTGGGTCCCTCGTCTGGCGAGGTCAGACGAGGACGCTGGGTCCCTCGTCTGGTGAGGTCAGACGAGGACGCTGGGTCCCTCGTCTCGTGAGGTCAGACGAGGACGCTGGGCCCCTCGTCTGGTGAGGTCAGACGAGGACGCTGGGTCCCTCGTCTGGTGAGGTCAGACGAGGACGCTGGGTCCCTCGTCTCGTGAGGTCAGACGAGGACGCTGGGTCCCTCGTCTCGTGAGGTCAGACGAGAACGCTGGACACCTCGTCAGGTGAGGTTAACCTTACACTGGCCGCGTGTATATCCAGATAAAATATATCCAAATTGTGAGTTTCAATCTGGATATACTATGCAATATTCACGATTCTTTCAAAACGTCTTAAACAACACTAAGACAAGAAACACTGGACGACGAATTGGAGCTGCTGACAAGCAGCTCGTAGACCTTGCCACGAGGAAAATGGTTCATATACAACGGGTATTTTCTACAAAACACCGAACACTTGCAATTCAACAAAATCACGTATAGTAATGACTCTTCCTGTCTTGATGTCTTGCTTAACATTACTGACACCCCCCAAATGGGACTTTTAGGATCTTAGTATATAAGAAACAGGTAATTAAAATACAGTATACTATAAAATCTCTTCAGTCAAAACCACAATGTGCACTTTAGAATCTTCCTAAACAAAGAAAGAGAGGTTGAAGTTCCCGCGCCACTTATTACACAAGAATTGTTCAGTCATAACACAATCGTTAATCGTCATCCAGTTCCAATAATTAACTGTGGCCGAACACATGTTTATTTTGTTCTTCAATAACACTTAAGATGTTTCACACAACACACACTTCACTAAGATAGCTTGAGCGTATGGCCTATCAACCTCTGGAGGGGTTATTAAGGTCACCACAACTGTTTACTGACCAGCCAGTAGGTATACATTAGCCCTGAACACAGGACTAGAGGAAACTCGCTGTGTAGACCCCCTAGATCATGCTATACACTTCTTGTTGTATATGTATCCCGCCTCAGGTCCGTCACTATGTACAGCAAACGACATACTGAGGTGACCCGCCCAAGTTGAGGGTTCAGAAGGTCCGCTTCTCAAGTCTCGAACCATCCCAGTCAAGAAGCTGCTCGAAGCCTCTTGATGTTTCCTCACAACCCGTCCTCTCGAATCAGCCCGTCTTCATCAACATAGACCAAATGCTCATTAATTCAGACATTTACCATTCTTATGGATGAAAAACAGTTTAACACGACTCACAATTGACGACGTGTGTACGTTTCTCGAGCAGTGCTTCGCTGACGTCCTCCGCTCGAATCGCAAGTCTGTAAATGCTTCACCCACGTACTACAAACACAAAAAATCAACAAAACCTGAACACCTAACCTAACCTATGCCTAACTTTTCACCGAATTTTATTGTATATTAGTTTATATATGAGAAGAAGCTTATTTTTATTACAAAGTATGTTAACAATTATGAAAGCGTATCAAGGGGAGGGGGGGGGGGGACGCTCTAACGAGCCTGGTCTGAGGACGGGCTGCTCGTGTTGCCACGTCACAAAAATGTCCTATATTGCCCAAGCCTAACCTAACCTAGCCTAGCCTAGCCGACGACCCACGCATTGTTAACGTGAACTTTCATGAGCCGCTATCATTTACAGTACACTATATTTTGTCCGTTGAGGATTTTGATATCAAAATGCGATGTATTATTGGAATGGAGAGTGTGTCATCACAGCCCGGCCGCAGAATATTGGCCAAGGGCCTCGCTGACTTACTGTGTTCAAGGCCCACTTCTGTAAATGCTTCCCGTTGGTACGTGAGATGAAAGTAGTTCTGCATGTTTAAGTTTCAGAAGATGGCAGATGCTTTTTAATATTTGGTAAATGTAAGGCCTTGCATGTGGGGCATAACAATGCACATCGCGACTATCAAATCAACAACATTACTCTGCAGCAGATTGGTGAAGGAAAGAACCTTGAAGTCAGAATCCACAAATCCCAGAAGTTTCCCAAGTGGGAGCTGCAGCAAAACAAAAACAAACAATTCTAGGAATAGTCAAACGTATATTTTATTTTTAAAGTAAATAAGGTAGTTATTCAACTACAAATTTCTAGCGTGCTCTTATTTGGATATTTGTATCCAAGCATGGAGACCTTCAGAAAGACAATCTGCTTTTGAGAAAGTTCAACACCGGGCGACAAAAATCATTCCTGAACTGTCAGCTCGCATACCAGGATCGGTTGAGGGCCACAGGGCTAACAACAATTCAAACCAGACATGACAATGCTGATCTCATTGAAACTTTTAAAGTATTGAGCAACTTGGAGGATATTAATCCAGACAACTTCTTCATAAGGTCAGATGTAATGCAAACAAGTAGCAATGGTTTCAAGCTCAACAAGTCACATTGTAGGACAGAAAACAGGAAAGCTCTCTCACCCACAGGATTATAAACACATGGAACCGCCTACCCACCGACACCTTAAATGCCAGAGCACGACTACAATGTAAGATCCATATAGATCAAATCAACAGGATAAATAGGGGCGACCTTTATTTAACAAGCCGCTGGCTTCTAGTCTTCGTCGAGGACAACTGAGAGATAGTGGTCCTCATGTATATTTGAGGGAGCCGGTCGGCCGAGCGGACAACACGCTGGACTTGTGATCCTGTGGTTCTGGGTTCGATCCCAGGCGCCGGCGAGAAACATTGGGCAGAGTTTCTTTCACCCTATGCCCCTGTTACCTAGCAGTAAATAGGTACCTGGGTGTTAGTCAACTGTCACGGACTGCTTCCTGGGGGTGGAGGCCTGGTCGAGGACCGGGCCGCGGGGACACTAAAAAGTCCCGAAATCATCTCCAGATAACCTCAAGATGGTAAAAAAAAAGTCTTACAATGACATGCTGAGGGCAACTGCCAGCACCTCTTTCCCAAGCCGGCGCCGGACACACGTCTTTCGATCCGAACATCAAGTCGGAAAACGGAAAATATTATTTACTTTCCTGTGGATCATGCGACAAGCGCGCCAGGCGTCGCTTGAATCTGGGCCGTTGAAGAGGAATACCTGACAACATGCCATCCTTCCTAAACGATAGCAACTGTTTAGTTGACCGTGACAATGTGTGCTGTTGGACACAAAAAACTTCGCATGTTGTACTTGTAAACATTTTATAGTCCGAGCAAAAAACGCAAAATTCAAACTAACATTCCTAGGCCTAGTATATATATATATATATATATATATATATGTCGTACCTAATAGCCAGAACGCACTTCTCAGCCTACTATTCAAGGCCCGATTTGCCTAATAAGCCAAGTTTTCATGAATTAATGTTTTTTCGTCTACCTAACCTACCTAACCTAACCTAACCTAGCTTTTTTTGGCTACCTAACCTAACCTTACCTATAAATATAGGTTAGGTTAGGTTAGGTAGGGTCGGTTAGGTTCGGTCATATATCTACGTTAATTTTAACTCCAATAAAAAAAAATTGACCTCATACATAGAGAAAAGGGTTGCTTTATCATTTCATAAGAAAAAATTATATTAAATATATTAATTCAGGAAAACTTGGCTTATTAGGCAAATCGGGCCTTGAATAGTAGGCTGAGAAGTGAGTTCTGGCTACTAGGTACGACATATATATATATATATATATATATATATATATATATATATATATATATATATATATATATATATATATATATATATATATATATATATATATATATATATATATATATATATATATATATATATATATATATATATATATATATATATATATATATATATATATATATATATATATATATATATATATATATATATATATATATATATATATATATATATATATATATATATATCATTGAATATGACCGCATATTCTGTATTTACTATCTTCTGATTTAGGGCTTCTATCCCTCTAACTATTTTCTTAGCATTAGCATCAGGGCTTAGCTGAAAGAGGAGTTCTCCAAAACTCATTTTTGTAATTTCAAGGTGAAGAAAAAAGTAAATTACTATAGAATGTATTACACTTATTTATACAATTTGCACAACGTTTCGAACCTCCAAGATTCATTCTCAAGTGAAAAGAATTTAGAGAATTGGTTGATTTATACCCTCACTGGGTCAGGTGATAAGACAATAAAGGTCAAAACATGGGGGATACATAAGGGATAAATGGGGGATGAAGCACATAAGAACATAAGAATAAAGGTAACTTCGGAAGGCCTATTGGCCCATACGAGGCAGCTATTATCTACATTCGAAGATTAATCAGGTGTAATTGGCCTGTTATGCTGAACAGTGTTTTCTGTGTTGGCATCGTTATGTTCTGGTCTTGTTCTTACTCTCATGGTGGGTAGAGTAAATAGTTCCGTGATTTGGGTGTTCATGGTAGGTTGTTCTATTCTTATGTGAATTGCTTCAAGAATTTGTAATCTTCTTGCATCTTGGGTTTTGTCTATTATACAGGTATTTTTGTTCATCATTTTTCTTGTTAGGGTGATGTCATGGGCTTGTCTCATGTGATTCCTAGGGGCACCGGATTGAAGATGACATGTCAAACGCCTCGTCAGCTTGGTCGACGTCATACCTATGTACTTAGATTGAAGGTTACATCCTTCGTGGGGGCAAGCGTACATGCATACAACGCTTAATTAACTGCTGTAGAGGGTTCTCCGTCGGCTTCGGGCTGTTTTTGATAAGGAGGTCGGTAGTCTTCTTGGTTTTGTAGAATATGATCAGGTCTATGTTTTGGTTAGGAGTAATGCTTTTTACTCCTTTACGGATTATTTCTTTCATTATTCGTTCCTCTTTTATATGATCACTGTGCATGGTTGATTTGTAATATAATTTTATTGGAGGTAGTGTGGTTTATGTTCTAGGTTCAGGATTATACCATCGGTCCAAGTGTCTTCTTATAGCAGCGTTTATTTCCGCGTTGCTATATCCGTTGTTCACCAATACCTGAGTTACTCTTTCAAACTCTCTACTCACGTTGCTCCATTCAGAGCAGTGGGTAAGCGCTCGACGAATATAAGCATTGAGAACACTGGCTTTGTATCTTTGGGGGCACTCACTTCTACCGTTCAGGCATAATCCTATGTTGGTGGGCTTAGTATATACGTTGGTGCTTAAAGAGGTTCCTATTTTTGTTATTAGTACATCCAAGAATGGCAGACTGTTATTTTCACTATTTTCATGTGTAAATCGGAGTACTGACTCTCTCTCTAGATGGCTTTTTAGATCAATTAGTTCATCTGAGTCTTTTACTATGACGAATATGTCATCTACATAACGGCAATATACAGTTGATTTTTGTCTGCTACTGAAGACTCTTTCCTCGATGGTTCCCATATAAAAGTTAGCAAATAAAACTCCTAAGGGGGAGCCCATTGCTACTCCGTCTATTTGTAGATACATGTCTTCTTGTGGACTGATGAAAGGGGCTTCCTTTGTACATGCTTCGAGAAGACTCTTCAAGTGTGGCTCAGGTATGTCTAATTTGGGGGTGCTCTCGTCTCTGTATACTCTGTCCAGTATCATTTCTATGGTGGTGTCGACTGGGACGTTGGTAAATAGGGATTCGACGTCCAGGGAAGCAATGATTCCATCGGGCTGAGTAGATTTGATTAATTCTAGGAAATCTGCAGATGATTGTAGACTATACTTGCTTGGAGTAAGTATAGTCTCCAAGCAAGTATAGTCTATAAACTATAAACTATGTATGAACAATATATAAAGCGCAGTTAAAAGCTCTGTACCTCAAGATACAGTCCTTGCACCACTGCTGTTCCTTATTCTCATATCAGATATAGATAAAAATACAAGTCACAGCTTCGTGTCATCCTTTGCAGATGACACAAAAATCAGCATGAAAATTACCTCTGCTGAAGACATGGAAAAATTACAAGCAGATATCAATAAAGTTTTCGACTGACCAGCAGAAAATAACATGATGTTTAACAGCGATAAATTCCAGGTACTCAGGTACGGCATGTGTGAACCGACCTGTGAGATTTATATTTATTTAAATTATATGAATTTATATTTACGTTAATTCGTATACTTCGATAGCAATTTGTATAATGATAAGTGGACTGTATTTCTGCAATAATCTCATAATCTCACAAATCGATCCTCTACACATTAGGGGGGGGGGGGTTTATATTAATTTAATTTATATATATGCAGCCAATCAAACTACAGTATTAACTACACACATTGAAGAGGTTCCTTATCTTATAGTACAGCAGGTTAGTCCACCAGGTATAACTAGGGTGTAGACACCACATTTTCCCTCTTTGAGGTAGCTTCCATCACCCTGGTAACTGATGCACAAAGCATGCTTCCTCGTCTTGACTTGTCAAAAGGGCGCTAGCTGTAAAGCCAGAATCCTATATATGACAGGTATATCAGAGAAAATACTGTACATGGAACAATGAAGACCTGGCTTAATTACCTTTAGTTTGAGGCTACCACGTGCTCTAACCGGGTCACCCTATATAATGACATTAATGGCCATAAATGAAAGATACATGGGTTTCGGAAGAACAATTAACTTGATTTGTTGACAGCGTGTTGATAATGGTACACCTTTGGTTTCCATAACACTACGTCCAAGTAAAATTAACAGGAGCCGAATTTGCTCCCGTGAGCCTCTGGTCTAATATAACAATGGCAATGTCTAACACTCCATACTACTGACGCTACTGGCCGACATTGTCCAGATATAATAGGAGCCAAATTTGCTCCACGCGTCTCGGAGGTGACAATAACAATGGCTGCCCTCCTTCCCCACTCCTGACGCCTGGCTTACATTGTCCAGATGACAGAAAGTGATAGAAGGGTCACATTTACTCTACTTTAATATTGATAATTAAGTTAATTTATATGATATGTTTTTATGATGGTAAAGTCCAAAGACTAATGTATTTAAGAATAATTCCCACCATAATAGGTGGTGAATTATAATAGTATGTGGTAATGATATCCCGTTTTCTATAGACGGTAAATTCCACTACAAGCTACATTTTCTATGGGTTAACTTGTGTATACAATGGCGGCAATATTATCTGCCTGTATGTAATATTAAATGGTGTCGGATTTTCCGACATAATTCCCCAGGGGCTGCTCATGGGTCGAAGTCCTATTTAGAACAGATGAACACCGATACTCCTCCTTCGAATTATTAGATTAATTTGATGTTAGTAGTTAGTAATCACACATTTGTGTCTGTTCGTACAGGACGGATGTCCCGTACTAGAGTTGCAGGGGTTAGAAGTCTAATGCGATTTCATTTCCCTGTTAACTCTTGAAAGGCTAATATTCAAGCCTAATTACATATTACTTAACCCAGAAGACTGAATGTGATCAAGTACTACAGTCAAGTATGATTCAGGGACTGCAGTGAGATCAGTGACATTAGATATAACTTGAAGTTTGTTCAGGTAACTAGTCACTGATATATAAACACTGAGGCCCGTGGAATACACCTTGATTAAATAATAAATGTATCAAATCAGTCATCAGATTTATTGGGGTTTAATTTAGTTAATTGATTCAGAAGACTGAATAGCTCATCATTAAAGTAGAGTATGGTTCTGAGACTGCAGTGGGTTCAGTGACATTGGTCGCAGTGACTTGAAGTTGGTTTAGGCTACTGTTCACTGATTTGCCACTGAGGCCTCATGTACTCATCTTCAGCTTTATATGATGATACTAACATCAACCTCTGTTGGTATAGTCAGCTGTAATCTCCTTAGTATAATGCTACTGGAGAAATATAATCAGCTGACAAATTTAGATTTCTATTGGTATTGTTTATCTGCAGGCATAGGTCTCCTCAGGCTTGATACTGGGCCTGAGAGTAATTTACCTCCTGCAGAGTTTAACATGGTTATACCCTGATATTTAGTAGGGCTACCGATGAATCGATGACAATAGTCTGTCCCTACAAGGAGACCGAAGTCAGTGAGGTGATCAGACTTAATATTATCTGCCAATTTTATTCCTCTATTTCTCAGGAATTTGGCTGTTGCTCTCAGACCTTGAACTTGTAGGTCTA